GTGTGCGTGTTGGTGTGTATGTGTGTACCCAGAGTGTAGAAGACTGGAGGACAGGACCACATTATCAAGGTGCTCAGCACCCCAGCTCAGACGAAATGAGTCCTTTTCGTGCTCTCTAGACAGCGCTGATACCTACAGAGCAAACAGACATCAGCAGGTCCCACACGACATTCTCAAATAGTATAAACTAAAAATACCATAGGTAAGGTTATCTTAGATAGCCAAACCAAATTAATAATTTAATAATCTTTATTTACAGAAAACTTTTAACAACAATGTTACAAAGGGCTTTCACAAAAAATTAAAAAAAGTTCTAAAATCATCAATTTAAAGAGAATTTGCACCAGGAAAAAAACAAACAGGTAAAACAAAAAAAAAACATTTAGGAAATTGAAATAAATAATGTAAACCATACACTTTTTGTCCACTTTGTTCTCACCTGGTGACTTGTAAGCATGTCTTCGATGAGAACTCCCTCTCTCTGATGGAAACTTTGGTGAATGGGAGTGTGCTGCGACCTGTTGGATTTTAAGAGTGTCTTTTGTATGTATCTGTCTGTTTGTATGTTCGCATCAAGGCAGGTTGTTCAACAGTAGTAGGTGAAGGAATGAATACACATGTGCTGACCTGTCTAGGTTGTGGCTCATGTAGCTGAAGCCGTCCAGGTAGTGTCCTGGCAGAGAGTCGTCTCCCAGTTCTCTTAGATCCTCTGCTCTCAGATATTCTCCTCCATCACCTGTCATAGTGTCCTCACCTGGAAAAACAAAATGTGCCATTTGAGAAATTGTATAAAAAAGGTAATTTTCTATGAGAAACTAAAACTGCTGTATTTCCACCTGGCCAGGAAGTTCTGGAACTTTTACGGCTGTATCTATTTAAACATGTGCACAATCCCACTGCTTGTCCTTTCTATCGCAGGTAATTGAACCACGTGAGAATTTCCAGTCTCTGTGCTGTTACACAAAATTTGCAGCATACTAGTCGTGATTTGAAACATTAGATCATTTTCTTCTTGCTCATTTTGACATGGTTCATTTATGAGAACAAACACCAAACTTGAGGGCACATGCATGAGCACGTGAGAGCCTCACAAATGTATCTGCAATTTGTGAGTGATCATTTGTGAATGTGACATTGCATCTGAGCAGTGCTTGTAAATAGCTTTGGTTCTGTAGGCATTGCGGAAAATGCATTTCTGTAGCCAGCATTACTGAATCAGTGCATTCCTCACTCATCCATAATCACCGTAAGTGTCATGATCATAGCCACAGTCCTGCACACTTTATGCAGTAGTTTTCACCACTGCATGAACTCACAATCATCAAAGTTCTGATTACACCCCATAAACAACAAGCTGTTAGATTAAAGAAGGTCAGCTTATGTAAAATCAGGCATAGAAACAACAACTGTCAGTCATATTAACTGCATAGACTCTTTAGAGACAGAAGACTTGCGCATTACAAATTTGGAAGTAAAAAATTCTCAACATTGATTGTTTTAGCAAAGGAAATGCATCATCACAACCAATATGATCACACTGATTAGTGACAGGAACACAAATATAGTCCATAAAGAGCTGGCAGAGCCGGCCAGACATTCTGCAGTACCTTCGAGCTCCACAGACATCTCAGACAATGGCTCGTCTTCCAGCCTCAAAGCTATGAAACATACAGGTTTAAGACCATCGGCTACAACTACATCACCCACAATACACAGCTTTTCATGGCTACTGAACAAGGTGAAACTGAACACTTTTTATTTAAAGGTCAATTTATTTATTTATTTTTTTGCTTTGTCTGTTTGAATGAACTCACCTTCTTCATCAGACACATCGAGGATCTCAGTCATGGTCTCAGGGACATTGAGCTTGTGTTTCTCTGTGACCGTCTGATGTGACCCCCCCCCATTCCCAGTCATGGAAAAAGACAACCAGAGTATAGAAAGGTTAACTGGGTATTCTGGGAAAATTAAAGACAAAACCTACTGGTATCACAAACATACCGTTGTGGTAGTGATGACCTCCTCTGTGACAACTTTCAGTGTGTCCACTACAGAGATGTAACCCAGACGTCTGGCAATAGACAGAGCCGTGTTTCCATTCTAAGAGAAAGACAGAGATTCAGTTCTCATGAAACATAAAAGTGACAATACTCTTTTCTTACTTTTTTTTTTGCTTATAAATAAAAGGAGAGTAAATAAAAGTTTTTTTTCTTACTACAGTGGTAGCATTGGGCTTGGCGCCATGCTGTAGCAACACATTAATGATGTGTGTGTTCCCTTGTTGTGCTGCCTGGTGAAGAGGTGTGTATCCATTCTGTAGAATGAAAGAAAGGAAATTAAATTTAAAACTAAAATAACATTAACTGTATTTTGTCTTGTGCTTATTCTTGGAGTTTAAAGTGATCAGAGTTTCTACACTTGAAGATTGACATTTGAATTCTACCTTGGTTTTGGCATTGACGCTGGCACCTTGTTGTAACAGGAAGTTGACAATCTTGGCATTTCCATAGTGACAGGCCACTATTAGAGGAGTGTATCCAAGCTGACGTAAAGAGAGGATGAGGAGGTGATAGAGAGTAAAAACAGTTTGTTTTAGTTGTTTGTGAAGAAGCTTTGCCATGCTCCCCAAAAGCCAGTAGGTGGCAGATTTGTATGTAATGTATCTTTATGTGATTTACTGGTTGGGAGATTCTTCACTGGTAAAGGACACCGCCTGCAGTGAATGTAAGTTACATAATTCACCCAGGGAACCCCTATGAATTAATCAGTGTGTATAATTCCATGACTTCTCCACAGAATTAAAAACAATCCTTGTCTCCACATTTACATAATTAGTGTTTCATTTCTGTCTGTATGTGCCTTTTACTGTGTTTGGGTGTAAATTCATGTGTGTGTATGTGTGCGTTTGTACTTTAGTTTGCTGATCCAAGTTGGCATCATGTTTGGCCAGTACTTCTGCTGCATTCACCCTGTCTTCTTGGGCTGCGAGATGCAGAGGGGTCAGTCCGCTCTGTAACATACAAAGCACAGAGTTAAACACTTGATTTGTAAATTATACACAGTGTTATGTGAGGCACGACAGAAAAACATGGACCGATAACTCAGTCCCTGTTGCATATCTGAATCATCTGAATGGTTGCAGGGTTAAAGACAAAATATTGTCCCTAATCTTGCAGAAAATGTAAGAACTAATGGTGCTACCTGCACCTGTAGAAATAGATGTTGCGTCTAATTGGTATCAACACAGTGTGTCTGTAAGTATTAGGTAGTATTAGGTATTTTAGGTCCTATTTAAGTATTAAGACGTGTCTGTGTTTTTGTGTAACCTTGGTGACTGCGTTGACGTGAGCTCCTTTGCCCAGTAGCAGGCTGGCCATCTCAGCGTGTCCTTCCTGGGCTGCCAGGTGTAGAGGGCTGACTCCCTGCTTGGTGAGAATGTTGGTCTCTGCTCCATACTGCAGCAGCGCTAATGCAATGTTTGTCTGGTTCTTTTTGGCTGCAATGTGAAGAGGAGTGTAGCCATTCTGGAAAGGGAGGAAGGTGAACAGTGGCATCTTATAAAAATATCACTTTATATGGGTAAAATGCACCTTATACATTTTAAACAGTGGCTAAAAAAGCAGACAGCTGTGTTTTTTCCCCCAATGCAGCTAAAATCTAAAACATCAAGAATATCTCAGGTTTTGGTATCAGCTTCTTAGCGTCACTCTCTAGTATGCAATCACTATTATAATGTAAAAACCACTTTTAGAAATAAGAAATAATCTTGCAGTAAGCTGAGGAAAAGTGTTCATCCAAAAAGTAAACTGCAGTGCTTGATCACAAAATAACTGCTACACCACAATGCAGTACATATAAACTGTGACGTCATTTTCTTCTTTAAAATCCTTTGTCCAACCTTTGCAGTAGCATGAGGCGAGGCCCCTTTATCCAGCAGCAGCAGAGCTACGTCTTGGTTGTCATAATGAGATGCCACATGTAGTGGAGTTAGGCCATTCTGTAAGAGGAAACATTTGATTGATATTTCTGTAATGGAACAGTGTACCTTTGTGATTTTATTGTGTTTTGTCCTCCTGCTTACAACAGATCTATTCTACTCTATAATGAGTCTATTCTAGAGACACAAATTCATTCTCTTCAGGCCCTGAATGATACAGTTCACAGAATCTGACTATATTTTCTATTTAAATAATGTGTAGAAATAATCCTGATTGTCAGTTCACCTTGCCAGCATCATCAGTGAGAGCTTTGCGTTGAAGGAGAAGTTGTGCTACATCAAGGCTTCCATACTTAGCTGCTACATGTAATGGAGTGAATCCTTTCTGTAGAGGGAAAAGGGAAATGTTCGTTTCAAACCTGCATGTCCAATCTCTTAATGCCTACTTAAGATTCTTGAATCTGTGTGTTTGATAAGGTTGTTCTCAGTCTCTGTCTGTTTGCATCATGTTCTATCTTCTGCTCACCTTCGTGGCCAGTGAATGTGAGGCTCCGGCTTCCAGCAGCACAGCAGCAGTCTCTACCTGGCCCTCCCTGGCTGAAATGTGGAGGGGAGTGTAGCCGTTGGTGGTGGCAGCATCTGGATGAGCCATGTGCTGCAGCAGCAACTGGACAATATCAGTTTTCCCCAAACGGGAAGCAATGTGGAGGGGAGTCTGGTCCTCCTGTGGTTGAGGGATGAACAAGTCGACAAATGTGAGAGTAAGTAATATGTGAGAGAAACAAAAGGAGCAGAGAGACAGGCAATGGAATTATAAAAAATAGAGACACAGTAGCCAGACCTGAGGCAGGCAAGACCTACAAGTATGTGTCTGCAAGCCAGTGGATGAAATATGCTTATTTATGATAAACAGAAGGAAACAGTGATTAACTCTGATGAGGCCACAGCTGACTCACCCTGGCCATGGCATCCACTAACGCTCCGTTCCTCAGCAAACAGCGAACCACTTCCATCTGACCTGCTCGTGCTGCCATGTGGAGCGCAGTCTCACCACGCTGATATGCAAAGACAGAACGAGAATGAGCATTAGGATGGTGTGCTAAATAAAACACTTCTGGGAAAACCTGCTCAGTAGATGCATTAGAAAAACTGATGGTGGAAAAAATGCTGTTTACTTTATGCCATATGTATTTCTGTGTACTGAGGAGAAAGAGATGAACAGATTATTTGTGAAAACTCACAATGTTACGGACGTCTGGAGATGCTCCATTCTGTAGCAGAAGTAAAACAATGTTGAGGTGGCCCATGAAGGCAGATACATGGATAGGCGTCAGACCAGACTAGAAAAAGAAAGAGACAGCAACAGGGGCAGTAAGATGAGCATAAAATGCAAAAATATATTCAATAAAGGTTATTGTGTTCACACTGACACATTCCCACAAAGTGTCTCACCTCAGTAATGGCCTGAATGGAGGCTCCATATTTGACCAACAGTTCCATCACCTTCACTCTGTTCTTCTTACAAGCAATATGGAGAGGAGTGAAACCGTTCTGGTAGAGAGAGCGACAGAGAAATAAAAAGATAATTACTATACCTACGTACATCTGGAGGAGGAAATGTAGCTGTAATATATATTGTACAATCTAAATTATATTGGTAAATAATCACTAAATTCTAAAAATATATTATTAGGTATTATAGGAATAAAATATAATAATAAATAAAAAGCACTCCACACACTATATTATCTTCTGCTAACTCTTCCTGTCTGAACATGGTTATGTTCTCGTGTATATCTGCATGTGCTTATATTTGTATGTGTATGTGTCTGTGCAGTTGTTTGTTCTGTCAATCCATACCAGTGCTCTGACATTGGGATTGGCCTTCTTGTCCAGCAGAAGCTTGGTGACTCTGTAGTGGCCACAGTGAGCGGCGACATGCAGCGCTGTAAGGTAGTCCAGTGTGACATCATCAACAGGCGCCTTGTGCTGCAGCAGGAGTTTAACGCACTCTACGTGGTCTCCTTGGGCCGACATATGCAGTGGGGACAGTCCGTTCTGTGTGAGGACAAAAGCAACGACACGTGGAGGGGGGTCAGAAAAAATGTGAAAAGTAAAATACTACTGAAAGCCTGAAGTTTTTGGATTAAATAACTGTATGCTTTAGCAAAATTCAAAGCTCAACACATTTAGTTAGTGGTAGGAAAGATTTTAGAGCATGCTGACTCAGCCATACACTACCTTGGTTCTGGCTAGGATGGGAGCTCCTCTCTCCAGCAGAATTTCCACTGCTGGGTCATGTCCACTTCTGGCTGCACAGTGCAGGGGGGTCAGCCCATCCTGCAGGACAATGACACGTGCACAGGCGCAAACACGTAAATATATACAGTATGTAGACATGAATCCAGTTTGTCTGTTTAGACAAAAGAGGTAATTGACAAGTGCTTGGTGTAGTCTATTACAGTAAGCAGACACTAGGGGTAGCTGCAGAAATGGGAATATTTAGAGAATCTCACCCTGGTTTTAGCATCTATCTGAGCCCCTCGGTCCAGCAGCAGGGCCACCATGTTGGTATTGCCTCTTTTGGAGGCCACATGGAGAGGCGTTATCCCATTCTGACAAGGAAAGCAAGAAAACAAAGTTAACTTTACCACAAACAACTAGTTTACATAACTTACATAGCAAACATATAATTCATGGTTGTGATTGGGAGCTGACATTACTCAAATACCACGCCACACATCACATGGAAATGTCCCAGAATCTGTTTTAATATTAGAGTTGAGGGCAATAATAGAAACTACCCAACTGTATTTAAAGAAACTAAAACTAACTTCATGTACCACTCTCAAGGAATTAGTGCAGCTGAAAACATGCAACAACATGAACAAATGTAACCTTTGATAGGCTAGGGGAATATGCAGTTAATAAAGTCTACAATTAAAAGGGAAAGTTATTATGGTAAATAGTAAACACACTGTTCTGCAAGCCTCAACGTGAAAACACATTTTATTACTACATAATACAGTTTTATTAGACAGCAGTACAGAAAGCCAAGAAGTGGAAATGGGTCGCTACCCTGGCTGTGAAGTCCACAGCAGCTCCTCTGTTCAGCAACAGGGTGGAGACATTCACGTTACCATAATGAGCCGCGATGTGCAGAGGGGTGAACCCACTCTGTTTGAGAGAGATGAGGAGAAAGGAGGGGAGGAAAGAGAGAGGAAAAGGAAAAGAAGATGGAAAAAAGGTAGAAAGAGAAGATTGTTTGAAACAGCAGGTGAGGGAAAAGGAGAACAGTTGCAAAAGAAGAGCAAAGTTAGATGAAATGAGACAAAAAGAAAGAAAGAAAGAATACAAGAAAGAAAGAGTACAAGAAAGAGAGGAAGAGAGGAAGAGAGGAAGGAAAGAAAGAAGAAAGGAAGGAAGAACAGATTTTTCTGTAGCAGATACAGAAAAGAATCCTGATTCTACTGAAGCAGTATTACAATGAGGCAGCATGCTGAAAAAAGAAACCAGACACGTTGGTGTAAGAAGAAGCATAACAAATGAGCATACCCTCAAAATAGCACATGCAATACATAATGCATGAAAAAAAACCTGTAATTCTGCCATGCTTGCTGAAAAAAAAAACAACTGGTAAAAAAGATCAAAGCAGTTTGATTTTTAGATACTAAACGTTTAACACAAAGGACATTAAAAACCAAAACTGAAACACACAAAGCAACTACGCACTATGTGTATCTACTTGGACAGACAAATTGACATTTATATATAAGCTATATATATAAATATCTACAGTACACAGTTGTAGGTGAGTTTACTCCTTACCTTCCCATTCTGATAGACATGGTGCAATTTAATTAAGAAACAGAGTTAACTTAAAGATCAACAACGTGTTTTCAGAGAGGAAAAACAATGCTTTCAATGTGCTTAAAAGTACACATGCTGTAGGTTATGCAGAGAGAAATAGCAATAAACAAAGAAGTGAAGGTTTATTTGAATGATGTCAGTGTTTCAGTTAAAAATCTGTAAAGAATTTGTTAAAAGAATGATGTATACACAAAGAGATAGAGAAATGTAAAACAAATAATCTATAAATGAAATGCAATAGAAGAAGATTCTCTGGGATCTGTTAATACAACAAAATGTCTATTACTGTCAGCCATGCAGGAGTGTGTAGTACAGCATAGTCAGCTGCATGCATTCATATTAATGGTTCATAATTCAGACATGCAGGACTTCACAAGTCCTCATTAAATAAGGGACAGATCGGGACAAAAGAGCTGAAAGAGATGGTCAGAAGTGACAAAAAGGAATTAAATGAAGAGGTGATGAGTCTGTATACCTCCGTAGTTCTATTGACCATCATCTGGTTAGGACGCATAGAGAGAGAAAGGGGGAATAGGGTATAGGGTTGTTAGGGAAAGGGCTTATCACAACAGCCACGTTAAACACAGGGTAAGTTTACAAGGTCACACAAACAGAGAACCAAAAAACAAGAACGCAAACAAGAAAGCATTCTCAGAAAGGCTCTGTACATTACTATTATTATATTTTTAAATGGACACACAAATAATCGATAAAATGAATAAAACTGTCAACATGAAAAATTATCCATTCAGTCAGATGCATTATCTCAGACTTCCTGCCACCTCCCCTCAACTTCTCCTTGGCTCTCCCATTTTGTAATTACACCCTCCCCTCCTTTCCGTTCTTATTCTCCCTCTATCTCTCGCTCCACTCCTGTCTGGCACTCCAGATCCACCCTTCTCCACCCTCCATCAATTTCTTCCTGTCGCCCTCGCTCACCTTAGACTGGACGTCGGCATTGTGGTCGTTCTGGAGCAGCAGCGCGGCAGACTTTGTGTCATCTTTGCGGGCTGCGATGTGCAGGGCTGGGAGGCGGACCTTGCCCTTGGTGTCGTGCTCCAACAGCAGGGAGACCACTGAGTTGTGGCCCTGCTGGAGAGCGATGGCCAGTGGAGTGAAGCCATCCTGGAGGAGCGGAGAAGAAACAAGAAAAAAGTGAAAGATTATATATGTAGTGAAAAGGTAAGAAAGATAGGGATATTAGTATATAAAGTATTTAGCTTCATAATGTGTAAAATTCAACACATACAGGTATTTTACACACAAACTTACCTCTGTTGCAATGCTTTGATTCCCTTCATTTTCCAACAGATATCGCACCACCTCCAAGTGACTCTCCTGGGCTGCCATGTAGAGTGGAGTAAAGCCATTCTGTAGAGAAATATATGTAAATACACACAGTCCGTACATGCACACACACACACACGTAATGTAAGATCATATTCTTGGTGTTGGTGTTACAAACTTTTTGGGTGCATTAAGCTTCTTACCTGTGACTGAGAGTTGACATCTGCTCCTCTCTTCACCAGTAGTCTGACTACTTCTTTCTGTCCGGCCAGTGAGGCAATGTGGAGAGCGGTGTTTCCTTTCTGTACAGAAAAACAGGGTTAAGGCCACCAGCCAAGTGTGTATCCTGTGTGGGTATGAACACCCTAAAAATCAGAGCTGGTTGAAGTATTATCAGCAAAATTTAATTGATGTTTTAAAAGTAAAAGGACCCATTTTGCATAAAAATGTTGCCTACAATTGGCTGATTTTAAATACTTTATATACTGTTGGGTAGTTTAATCTACTGTAATGCATTATAGTCTATATTCTATATTAGATTGCATATTTGATACACAAATGTTATGATCTTGCATCGGTTTTTATTTCTAGGACATGAAGGATATTATTCGATTAATATCAAAGGCCAAATTCATGTCAATCCAAGGACATGGGAAGCCGGGCGACAGATTCCTTGCCAGCCGTTTATTGTTGCTGGATGTTAAACCTGACACTTTAGGCATTCAGTCACATAACGAACAGCTTGCCAAGTAGCATGCCCCACACTCACTCCCCCCCTCCCACTTCTCCCTTTTCCAGTAAAAGCAGAATATCTAATCATCATCATGATGCAATCATCTGCAACCTCTTTCAAAACTGAAGACTTTGTTTTACTGTCAATGTAAATTCAAAAAGACACCAAAAAAATATCTAATAAAAAAATCTACAAACACACATAAGGTCTTATGTCTTGTTAATATATAAAGTTGAAACTATATAAAGTTGAAAATGTAACTCCTTTAATGTGACTTTCTCCCGAAATAACCACCACCCTTGTGAATCAAGTTTCATAGAGAGAAGCATTGATTTACATAGTACAACTGATACCACTATATATTTACATTCCTGTGCACTCATCTCCCTCTTTCTCTTTCTGTCACCCAGCTGTCACTGACTTCCCTCCCTCCTTTCTTGTTTTTCCACATCTTCCCCTCATATACGGCTAAAGATCAATCTGTCACATGTTCATATCTGAAATGTCAATAAAGCGTAACAATAACTAACATAACATGAATGTGTACATGTACCTTGGTGGAAGAGTCAACAGGTGCTCCTCTTTCCAACAGCTCCTCCACTAAATCCTTGTGTCCCTCCTTTGCTGCCAGATGTAGTGCATTCAGACCATTCTGGAGAGAAAACAAAAAGAAAACATCAACATGACACGTCAAGAAAACAGGTGGTTGTGTGATTATTGCATAACTGAGTGGTTCATATAGAATTACATTACAAGTATTAAGCTCCAGAACATAGAGCTTGAGCGATAAATACAGCACCTGCATAAGATACATTATAGGAGGCAGAATATACAGGGAGTGGACACAATAACATCAACAACTGCACAATCCAGTGCACTAAAATACAGTATTCCTGCATTAACTGCATACTACCCCTGTGAAGAGTATAATGCAATGTCTTATTATCTTATTAATTATGCTATATTGTACAGGTGTTATTGTATGCATCTTATGAACATTTTGGCCAGAGGTTAATATTACATTAGAACAATGTTATATGTTGTGGGAACATTTTCTTCAACATTACGATTAAAAAAAGATTTTAATGTTACTGCGTGTAAAATATGCACTGAAAAACAACCTTCAAATCAATCTTACATGTTGATAAAATAGATTCTCACAGTGGGTTGATTTACAGTTCTAAAAAATGTTAATAAACAACAAAACTAAAGAAAATAGATGCTTATTTCCAGTGAAGTTTTGGGAGATCAACATCCACCAACACGAGAAGAGAAAATATCTCCTTCTGGCAGATTTTGCCGTGAGCATTACATCAAAGGCCTCCGGTCCATCAACCAGAGCTACAGTTTAGGAGTAGCACAAGAGGAGGAGAGCAGAGTGTAAATGTTTCATGCTGACAGGCAATCGCAACACAACTGATGTATTTACGCAACACACATGCACGCAACATATTTCCTCTGAGACAGAAATATACAAACACACAGAGGAATGATTCACCTCATCTTCCTCTTCTTCCATCCTGCGCTGTGTCTCTCTGAAACGCGCAAACTTAGAAAGTATTTTAAACGGCGTCCTTGTTCAAGTCCCCTGCTCCGTTTCTCAAACCAAATGTTAAACTCTCTGTCTTCTTTCCTGTCTGTGCGTTCAGCTCCTTCATAAGTCTTTTTTTTTTGCTATTTTCTATCTTTTGATTTCACAAATAGTTTGCCAAGCTGGATTGAGAAATGATGGAGCTCCAACCATCAACAGCGCTCCTCTGCCTCCCACCCTCCCCTCCCCTAGTTTAGATCCAAGCTTCTGGGTCTGTCTGGCTTCTTCTTCCCCCTGTAGGCTCTATCAGATGGGTTACAGAGAGGAACTGTGGCTTCTGGCTCTGAAGGTTCTCCTGGCACTGATGTAAAAGAGTAGCTGCTATGTTGCTAACACTTTTATCATTGCCCCCTTCCTTCCCTCCCAACACGCATTCACACACAAATAACCAAATGAATACACACACCTACACACACACACACGCACAAACTCTCTCTCTCTGTCTGTCTCTCTGGGTAGCCAAATGCCAAACAGCCAAAGGGGTGTCATGTTTCTGCACAGTCATAGAGGGTATGTAGGACACACACACACACAAACATGGATACTCATATTCAGAAGCTACTAAAAATGTCAACCTTTCAAAAAGAAAAAAGAGGGCACTCCTCAGAGGCCAAAGTATGTAAGTGAGTGTCTGGTCAAGTCAGTGACTGTGTCAAAGATATATGACATGACTTTAAGTGGTAAAAATGAAAGCCATGATGTCCTAGAATTAAATACTTAAGTTATTGGTGTCTTTATGCAAATAGTTCCTAATGAAAAAAA